CGGAAGACACCCGACCCCTGCCGCAACGAGCAACCAGATCCCGCAATCCAGTCCCTCACCACGCAAACTGTGTGTTATAATCTTTTATGCACTGCAAAAATACAAAAAAATAAAATAAAATAAAAAAAATTTAAAATCACTTTTTAGACATTGTATTTAACCTCTGAAAGCCCCAAGTCAGTGTGATTGTGGCATACTTTGAGGCAAACTGGTTGATGAAGCACTGTACTGAACTGTGAGTGGCAAAATATCCAGGTTGTAGAAAGATGGAAGTACAGTTTGGTTTCTTTTGTGATTCGTTTTCTGGCCATGGCACCAAAAAAAATTGATTGATAAATGAAAATAAATGATGGTGAAGGAACAGCCACTAAATGTTGCTGATTTTTACAGTTAATTTTAATATACAACAATTACCAGAAAATAACAACGTAAAATAATAATAAATATCAGGAATATACTGATATATAACAAATAACTCAGTAAAGGACATTTTTTCTATTCACAGATAAAGTGAGAAATGACCAGCAGAGGGAAGAAAAGGAGGAGCTGCAAAAATAAAATAATATATATATCATTATACATTTATATGTTATGTATACAATAAATATAATATAGTATATAACTTTAGAGGGGTTTTTTTTTACTGCGTCTCTTTTTTCTTCTTCTATTGGCTACTTGATCTGAGAGAGCGGGAAAACTGATTTGGCCAAACTGAATTATTTTGCTGTGCACAAGTCTTGAGAATAAACTTCAGTATTAACAAATGTCATTATGTGAATTTCGTATCTAGTGAAATCTATGTAGGACAAGTTGAAAGTGAAAGAATATTAATTTTGAGTAACTTTTCTTTTAATATAATTTCTATAGGTAAGAAATGAGGAAATGTGTTTTTTTTACCATAAAGTTTACATAGTCTGTGACAGCAGCATAATATAGTACAATGCATTTTATAGAGTGCTTCGAAAGTATATCCCAAATAAGATACAGAGCTTCAGAGAATCTACTCACATTCATGCAATGAGAACTTTACTTAATTGCCCAGAATCCTTAGCTGCTGATTAATCATTACATGCTAAGACAACCTGTGGGAAAATGGGCTTTATGACTTTTATTAATTAACTTTCCAGCTTTATAATAGTTGGATATTTCTTCTGAATCAGATATTTTTTTTTAAAAAATTTCAATTTGTGTATCCACGCCCTGCAATTTATTATTTATTAAATAGAGTTCATTGTAGTTCTCTCTAGGCAAAACATTTCTTGTTCAACAATATAAAACTGTCGCAGTTGCCATAGCATATTCCCTGTGATTGCTTTTTATAGAAAGCGTTCCACTCCTTGACCTTACCCAAAAATCATTAAAGTTAGATAACTAGGTATTGCTGGTGACAAACTATCATTTCTCCCCAAATTCCTCTATCACATTATATTGTTCAATTTGTGTTTATTTACAAACACTTTGCCTTTTGTTTTTATGGATAATATCCAAAGGGGAGAGGAATTAATTGCAAGTTCCTTTCTTATCTGTATCCCTGATCTAGCAGATAGAGAGGTTAGAGGAATCTATGAGACATGACAAAAGAATTAAAGTCCCCTTTCTCACTTTCTCTGATAAGAGAAAAGCTTTGAACTGGATATTGGAGCACTAAACCTACCAGCATCAATCTACATTGTGACTATTTTATTAGGGATTTCACACCAAATCACAATATCTCCAAACCAATCACACTTAACAGAGGGGTGAGCAGCTTATTAACCTATTCACTTACAGGGCAGCTTGTAAAGCATGGGGATCCTATGTGACCCCTTTAACTGTGCACGTGTAAGGTACAAATTACTGCTGATTTCTAATGACTGAATCTGGTTATCCTCTCAATCCATAAATAAGATGTTAAATCTGAGCATGCAACTTCAAACAGATGGAAATAGCTGAATTATTATTTTAAGGAATATAGCAAAGTATTTTTTTTATTTTTTTTACAGGGAGTGTGTACATGTGAAGATATCCATAAAAAAAAAAGCATTTTACATAAAGCAATATGAGAAAATACAATTATTGCCATACATTTGAGATCTCCTCGTTAGCAGTAGTCACATCAAAAACTAAAACCATCTATGGCATCTGTATGATTGGCAACTAAGCCACCAGCAGTCATTCAAAACTGCTTTTGATGACAGTTCAACTGTTGTAACAACATTATTTGTGTCTGAAAATGTGTACGATATAAATGTGCATATATATATACTTAACCAGCTACCCCTTCTGCATTCCAGATGTTGTGGACTACATCTCCCATAATGCTCTTACAGTCGTAACACTGGCAAAGCATCAAGGGAGTTGAAGTCCAAAACATCTGGAGTACTGAAGGTTACCTATCCCTGAACTAGATTATAGTGGTATGGTCTCTACTCTTGTCCCCAAAATAGGAACCCATGCCTGTATTATGGGGATAGATGACACAGCCTTCAGGGCTTTTGCTTGGTTTAATGTATTGCTTTGCCCGTCATTTAAACACTCAAAGTCTCCATTAAGGAAAACTAGCAAATAGTTATTAAACAGTTTGACCTTTAGATTGTAAGCTCACGGGCAGGGCCCTCTACCTTTTGTATTCGTCTGTTCTTATTGTGTTGTCTTTCCCAATTGTGCAACGCTGCGGAATATGTTGGCGCTTTATAAATGCCAGTAATAAATAAAATTAGGTTTTATGACATACTATCGATTATTATTATTTTTATTTAAAAAAAAACCACTAATATACAATGCATTCCTCCAGAAGATGGATCGTAAAAGTTAGTTCCAAATTCAAATCATTATACTCAGGCGAGAAAGAGCTTCAGCCTGTTTAGAAGGCCATTTCTTTTCTTATCTGAGGTCAAATTAAATCTCTTCTTACATGGCTGTTTAATTACAGGTCATAGAGGTTAGGTCTTCTAGACTGTACTCTACTGACCAGCATCCTCATGACTTCCTGTTTGCATTTGTTTGAATATGACACTAATTTTGCACATTGGTGATAAATACCTGTGTGGTTTATGAAATCCACATATTAATAAAATATGCACATCCCATTTGTGTATACATCCATGTACAAATCTAAAATACCAAATGGGTACCAGGTAACCTCTGCCCCTAATTCATTACAGCTTGTTGGTAAAGAAGTATAAAATGTGTTTTCTTTTCATTAACTAATAGACTTTGTCTTCCTTGGCCCAGGGTCATAAAGCTGACAGAACAGAGACATTCTTCACTTATTCCCACTTGTTGAACCTCTCCACTTGTGTATAATAGGGCAGAGTCCACTTAGCCACTCTCTTATGGACCAGTTAACCATCTAAATCTTCATGCTCCCCACAGAGAAGGGGATGTACATCAATATCTGAACACTGACTAATTATCCATAAATCTTCCCAAATAACACAAATGGAACCTTTATCAATTAGCTTGAAGTCTATTTGAACAGACTCCATCACCTCGTGTTCTAGATTACTAAATATTTTACTAGACATTATGTCTTTACACCCGTTGTGTAAAGCAGCCAGACATATTGATTATTTTTATTATCAGCATTTATATAGCGCTAACCTATTCTGTAGCGTTTTAAATGATCAAAGGGGGATATTTAGAGGTAATATGTTGTAAATATAAATAATAATTGTTTCACAAAAGAGAGTATACTTAATGATGAAGAGTATATTATGGGAATATAAAGCTATTGCGTGGGTTCTAGAGATATGAAAATAAACACAAGACTGAAGCATGTGTGGTTAATGAATGTTCCCGGAACTCGAGATACATTATTATAGCCTGAGACAACACATTATGTGACTTTTAGAATACATTTTTTAAAATAGAGTTACGTCTAGAGCTAAGGGTTCGAGTTAGGATAGGCAACCTTCGGTACCCCAGATGTTGTGGACTACATCTCCCTTGATGCTTTGCCAGCATTGTAGCTGTAAAATCATAATGGGAGATGTAGTCCAAAACATTTGGAGTGCCGAAGGTTGCCTACCCCTGATCTATTCTGTCCAAAATAAATGGAAGTTATACACCTGGGCACATCTGCTATTTGCGGCTGCTATCCTTAATTACGGCCCTTTCCTTTTCATGAAATGATTTGAAATGTGTGGGGAGAGTGAACTGCGCTGTCTCGGTATCACCAGCTTCTCTAACAATATACCCATTTTGGGAGATGACTGAAAATTGAAAGATTATATTTCATTGAAAATGACAAACAGCAACATCACTATTTTGGATGGTTCTGAATCCTTTCTCAAGATGGAATACGTTTTTAAATTTTGGAGCAGTCCCATGGGTGCTTCTATTTACTATATAGTTTGAACTGTTTGCTGCTGTGCTGCACTAAAAAGGAAGCAAATATGAGTATAAATATGTGTTTGTAGAGTGTGTACATATATCTGTTTGTTTGATGTATGTGTCTGCGTGCACTCATTTATATTTCTATATTTATCCATGTGTTGCATTCCACAGCATGTAGAATGCCAGGGAACAAACTCTAGTATTCCAGTGCTCCAGCTGCTGTGGAATAAATCTAATAAAAACAAACAAATAATGTAAAATTGTGTGATATAAAATATACACAAAAATTATACAAATATTAGGGGGAAATAATGCCATTTCTGTAGACATGAATCACTCAACTAGATGATATAGAAATCTATAGATAGAGACAGACAGACAGACAGACAGACAGATAAATAGATAGAATATAGAGCAGTCACCATGAACATCAATGAACTGTTACTCTAATTTATATTTTTTCTCTCAGTAACCAGTGAGTAATAATAATAATAATAACAATAATAATAACAATCCCCTATATATTTTATAAATCTCACAATGCTTGGACACAGCATACAGGGTGAATGACTAGTTTATCCCTAGAATAATGTATCCCAGTAGATAAAGCACTGTCTCTTTGCTATAAACTGTATATAAAGAGATATGAATAGAGAGATTTCTGAGCTGGGAACCAGCCAGCCATGATCAGGACCCTCCCCCAGCTCCCCTCCAAGCTCCAGCAGCCAATCCCAGCCCTGGACGCCCTGAGCCCCCTGCAAGGGATAAATCCTCCGCCCAGGTCCTATGGGAGGAAGACAAACTTCTTTGCAAAGTGTGAGCAGCGTGTGGGAGACAGTGAGGGTCCTCAGAGACAGCAAGGTACAGTGTGAGCCATCTCCTACTCAGCCATGGCTGTCTGTCTGTGTGTGCATGTCTGTCTGTCTGCTTCTTTCCATATGTGTCTAGAGATAAATGACCATTGGTTTTAATATGTGGATGGTGCAACATTCGCTATAAATCTTAATAACCTGCACTTTCAGCCTTGGAACAGAAATTAGAAACTGTGTATTTAGCAATTTCTGAATCTAAACAATCCAGTTATCAGCATCAGTTGTTTGGACCATGATGCAGGTTGGGTTGGAGATGCTCAACTCTCCCTGTCACAGCATTTCTACCAGCAGAGTCCTGTGATATCTGTCCTGGATATTGACCTTTACCCGGTGTCTACAACTGTGCTACAGCTTGACCATCACTCTGTAATGGCAACAATGGCTGTAGTCTAACTCCCACTACCTGGATCTCACCCTCTATTCTGCATTGTGAGCTTCTCTGTATGACACCCTTCTCTTTCCCTTTGTCATGTCTGTCCCTGTCTTCCCTTTCAAAAACTTGCCATTCTGCCCCTATCCATTGCACCCTTCCCTGTTCCAATTGCTCTATCATATACCTCAGGCTATTATCATTTGTCCCCTTTACTCTACTATACAGTCTTTTTATACCCCATATTTTGCTGGGACTGGCACTTACCACTCAGACTTCTGCCTTTGTATTATTTTGTTTTACCACTGATAGGCTTCTCGTCAACTCTGTTACCCAATACTTGCCCCATGCCACCGTCTCCTTTGCCCCTGTCACCCAGTACCTGCCCCATGGCACCCTTGAACAGTGCTATATGCCACCCTCTCCTTTACCCTGTCACCCTGTACCTGCCCCATGCCATCCTCTCCTTTACCCTGCCACCCTGTACCTGCCCCATGCCATCCTCTCCTTTACCCTGTCACCCTGTACCTGCCCCATGCCATCCTCTCCTTTACCCGGTCACCCTGTACCTGCCCCATGCCACCCTCTCCTTTACCCTGTCACCCTGTACCTGCCCCATGCCACCCTCTCCTTTACCCGGTCACCCTGTACCTGACCCATGCCACCCTCTCCTTTACCCGGTCACCCTGTACCTGCCTCATGCCACCCTCTCCTTTACCCGGCCACCCTGTACCTGCCCCATGCCACCCTCTCCTTTACCCGGTCACCCTGTACCTGCCCCATGCCACCCTCTCCTTTACCCTGTACCCTGCCCCATGCCACCCTCACCCTTGCCCCCTTTATCCTGTACCCTGGCCTATGCCACCCTCCCCTTTGCCCCTTCATCGTAAGTCAGTTGTTTCTCCTGCTTGCAGGTTGCTCTGGCAGAGACTGTGGTTGCTGCTTTCTTGACAATTTCGGACCTTTATTGAGGGACTATTTTGATTTGCAGGGAATATGCCCCACACCAGCATGCGATCAGGTAAGTTGTTCTATGATCTGCTTGTTTTACTGTCTGCGCTGTGTTCATCTGAAATGTAAACTATTTAATCAATTTCTAACAAAAGCCTTCTGACCTCTTAATTCAGTAAAACCTCACTGACTGTGGAAACATACCTCACTATATTGTACAAAGTCCATTGGTCAATAATGACAGTAATCTTCATTTTAGTATAGTGTGATGGGTTCTAGCGGTGTTACTAAGTGTCATGTCCTGCTGTGTTCAGGCATCCAGACATTATATTGATCACGTGATGAGATTTAATTGCATACTGATGCTTGATGATGTTTTTGCAAACATGCAGTGCAGTTGTGTGTATACTGGCAGGCGAAATACACCACAACTACAATAAGTCATTTAAAGAATCCAATGCATGACAGTCAGCCAACTTCTCTGAAAAGGGGGAATGCTTCAAATTGGAAAACAAATAAAACGAACAGTCTGCAATATGTTACTTTGAAACCTATCTATGTATGTCTGAATCAATGTATCTATTCTCTCTCTCTCTCTAACCATCCATCCATCTATCTATCTATCTATCTATCTATCTATCTATCTATCTATCTATCTATCATCTATGTATCTATCTTTTTCTCCATCCCTTACAGAATAGCCTGTATCAGGCACTGGATATCTTTATAATAAGTATTTAACAAATAACATATTCATTGCCTATTCTCCCCATCCCCGAGTGTATGTGTGAGTTATCCTATTTCTAATTAAGGAACTGCCCCTTAATACCCCCTGGCAGGCTCTGGTGCCCTGGGGAGCAGAATCTGTTTTGTTCTTACCCCTCTATCTGTTTCTGCGCTTAATCTTTTTCACGGATATATCGCCTATAAATAGATTCGTTTAATACATTTATTTTTTCGATAGTCAGTAAATCCTGTGTTGGATATTTCTGCCAACAGCCCAGATTTTGCTAAGTATATAGAGACAACATGTTTATTTGGAGTCCCTCTTTCCCAAAGAGGAAGGTGCCTTATTCTGCGCATTATTGGTCATTCTGCAGAAAAGGACTAAATTAATTGAACAGTTTTGGGCAGAACATCGATCCATAAGACACATTGTGGACTGCAACATCCTATAGTAGCAATATATAATCTAATAGCATTATGACATAAATTCAAACAGTAATAAAATATACAACATAGAATGCTTGTGAAAGATGAACACAATGTACAAATGCACTGTACATAGAAACAACAACATAGAATATATGGATAACTGAGCAAAAGATTTTACCTATCTGCTGCAGGTTCAGGGGTAAAATTTGTATGTCTCCCCTAAAGATAACGAGGTAAAGGATTTGGCCCCTGCAGATGTAGAGGTAACGTTTTGGCCACCTCCTGCATAATTAGGTGTAAAATATTGTATCTATGCCAGATATAGGGGTTTTCGATTTTATATACACATATACAGGTAATCGATTTTATATATACACACATATATATATAAAATCGATTACCCCTATATCTGACATGGATAACATGTATCGATTATAAAATCGATTATAAAGTGTGTGTGTAAAAGATTTGTCCATGTCCTGCAGATATAGGGGTAAAAGATTCGTTTGTCCTCTGTAGGTTTGCAGTTTTGGGAACATTGTCATCTTCTGTTTTAGGATCAGAAATAGATGCTTTGAGGTCACATCTCCTGTTAGTCCTCAATTTGAATACAAGTTAATTAGCAGATAATTTGCCTGGCTGCAGAATGATCACTATCCCCTCTGCTGACACTTTAACTGCCTCTCTGATTGATGCAACTTCAGGGAAGATCTGAGGAGGAGATGAGTGTTTCAATGTATCCCCAGCCCCACTGTATCCAGTTTCCTTACTTTCAAAAGAACTCTTTCTGATATCTGCATGTAGATCTGACACTACTCACTGCACCTATAATTCGTTGCTCCATTGCCTAAATTTCCTTTTTTTACAAAGGCTTGACAGCTCCTTTAATTTTCTAATTATAAAAACACTGTGTATGGTTGGAGGGCATTGCTGTGTTATTACTTCCTTATCTACCTTTCCCTTGTTTCATTCCCAAAAATGCAAAGAATTTACATTTTTGTTTTGGTTTATTTTTTTAATATAAAATAATTTTCCTTGGATTCATGGCATATTAGAAGAAAACCTGGTTTGTTACAGAGTATTTTTTTTCAACTCTTTAGATGTGTAGTTATTATAAGAATATGTTTTTGTTGTTGTTGTTGTTTGTTTTTTAGTGTACAATTTTGAAATACCATAAATGAAATAATTCATCCGATTTGTCTCGCTAGTTGGTGAATATCTGAGATTATATAAACTAATCCAGAGTGAATTTTTAGATTAGTACAAATCAATAAACAAGGAAACATCAGGTTCAACGTAAATTATTATTGTTACAGATTTGTAACAACAATATTATTATTATTATTACTATTATTATATATCGCCTGCATATGCCGCAACGCCGTACAACAGACAGATATCTTTAAGGATTGTGCACCCCGGGATTAAAAGAAAACCAATGTCTGATCTAAACAGCTTGCAGTCTGTACCAATCCGATATTAAAATGCACATTATTATTATTATTATTATTATTATTATTATTATTATTATTATTATTATTATATTTTGATAATTATTAATATGTTTGTTATTTTCATGAAATTATAATTAAATATGGTTTTATTAAGATTCATTTTGCATACAAAATGATTCAAATAAAATATATTCTTGTTTGTTTCGGGAAAAAGGGGACATTTAAAGTAAGCGTAATAAAAACTGCTTTATATCACTTTATAAAAAGAGGTTAAGGTGCTCCCTGATGCAATATAAAGAATAATAATGTGCTTGCTCATTAAGTGTTAATAACGATGTAAACTGCCGTATTAATCATTTTCTGAAGGAACTCCCAAACTCTAAAACAACACGAACTCAGCATTTGAATTTTTTACATTCGTTTATTTCAATATGAATAGTACTTTGCAGTGGACACATAACCGACTGCTTAGAATGCAATGTTCTTAGAGGAGTAATGACTCACCCATGGTACTGCAGGAGTTTGTGAACTACATTTCCCATGATGCAGCATGCTGGCTGAGATTCATGAGACAGGTAGTAGACAAACACTTGCAATTAGAAGCTTAGCACTCACTGGCTGAGGCTGGTATAGCATTATATAAGCCATGTAAGAGAGATGTATTGATTGATTTTACAAACACATTTAATGAACGACCCAACGTGTTTCAGACTCCATTGTCTGTCTCCACTTCAGTATTTACACTAACATTAGGTGATCACTTAATTAAATGTATGCAATATCTTAACAGACCAGTATAGCTCCTGAAATAGCTCAATAAGGGGGTCTCTATAAATAAGTGCATATCACCCCCCCACCCCCCCTAATCCTTAAAATCAAATTCATTTACATCAGGAATCAAACTAACTTTTAATTAAATATATATTTCGATTTACACAGGACCTGTAAACTGCAGTTAATCTCACTAAGACTTTATTTTTTCGCCATAACTCTCAAAACCAGTTATTTTGCTATTATTTCAATAACCAATAATGGTTGCTACAATTTTTATTCTTTAATTTGTAACACAATACAGCGCTTGTTTTAACAAAGTGGAATAGATTAGAAGCATCTGATATTAACACTGACACTAATCCAATTTATATAGTATTGTAGTAATCCTACTGATAGTATATGCGAATCATTGTAATTAAAAGTAGTAATAACAGCAACAGCACCAATAATACTAATATTATCAATAATATTTGTGTGTTTATAAAGCGCCAACATGTTCCGCGGCGCTGTACCATTAAGGCGATATACAGACAGAACAAAATATTGACATAACATCAGCAAAGGAATTGAGCCCTGCCCGTGGGGTTAAAACCAAAACCTATCTATTCCTAGGTATCAGACATTCTAATAGAACTCTAGAAAGGAACCAGCTCTAGATGAAGTCATGCAATGTCTGTATGTGCTGCTATTTATTACTGACCCATGATCCAGGTTCTCATTGACAGGGCAACAGGCGTGTTGGACTATATGGCACTGTCTGCTGAGATATCATCACTGGTGTGGGACATCCAATAAAAGATGGAGGGAACTTTGACCCCCAACTCCCATGATGTTCAGCCATCCTCTATCATAATATTTAATACAACTTCCCCAAAACACTCCACCCTTTTCTCAGTGAGTAGTCACTAGCCAATTTAGCCAGCCCAGTAGTAATTAGAATGTCAGTAATATGCCATTCATGGCAGAGATCTCTCATCGTGGACATGCTGATTAGAACTATGTTATATATCAGTTAGATCTTTCAGTATACACTATGTGGAGTGGCTGCTGTATACTTATTGTGACAATTACTACACCTGGAATTAATAGCTACTCTATGTAGGGAACATATTAATATATCACACCTACCTCTTTCTCCTTTCACTCACTAGATAGTGAGCTGTGTGTAGTCCAGAGCTAACTTGCAAAATCCAGGACGTTATAAGTGAAAATGACACATTATTTAGCTCCTCAGTACAAGGTGTGATATGTTATAAGTAAGTAGTTAATTCACAACACACTCTGTATTAAATAGAACCCTAGCTCTGTGTTTCCTAAGTGATAGAACATCTACACACCACCATGTTTTTTCGATACACCATGCTTCCCAAGTGTCCCTATTTAGGAGGAACAGTCCCTATTTCAGGCCCAAATCTCTGTGTCCATGTTTTCTATCCTAATGTAACTCTTTCTTGTGTGTAACAGAGCTCTACAGTACTACTCCCAGTAATGTGAACTTCAAATTATTTGGCTATAACAGCCAAATTTAAGGCAAAATAGTATAATTAGACAAATTCCCCAAGTCAAGAATTGTATTCACTATTTGTGCCTAAAAAATGTAATTCAATTTGAATTTACTTGAACTTCCCAAAAACTCACAGTTTAGTGAATAACTCTGTAAGGGAATAAAAGCACAGAAGTTTATTCTGAATTAGCAAATTAAAATCCAGTTGGTAAAATTTAGAGTAAAATTACTCATGTGGAAAAAAAAGATCTCTAACTTAGTTTTACTCATAGCTTGGCTGCTTTAGTCTTGAATTTGTCAGTCAGATTTAAATTCTCTACAATTTATTGTTTAGTAAAAAACAAAGAAAAAAAAAACCTGATTGAGGTTATTCACCAAACAGCAAATTGTGGCGTGTGATCCATTAATATATAAAAACAACCGTAAAATGAATTATTCTTAAAAAGGACTGAGTTAATTTTCCACGAAAATTTATTTCTTATAGTACACCTATATGAAGCACAAAGCAGTACAATATATCAGAATAATAGCACTGAACAGAAAGATAAAGAATAATCAAGAGCTATACTTAACAGTCAGACATTGTGAAATGCTTATTGTGGTGGTGCTGTGCTTGATAGTGGCTTAAATAGACTCTCAAAGAACATATTTGATTTACTCGCAGAAAAAAAGAAAACTGTCTGCTTTTTACTGCGTACAATGCATTCTCTATTGCTTTTACAAAGCAGGGTTTGTTTTCTGTGACAGTGAAATATAGGTTGGTATAGTTGTATCATACTGTTTCTTTAAATGACTTAATTTGCTACAATTTCAATTGTCCATCTTTATCTTCTTTGAATCTGACATGTGATGAATTAATTCAGTACTGCTGGCAAAAAAATAAAACATTAAGCTTTAATCACTGCACATTGGTTTGTGGCAAACCGGAAAGCAATTTTATAAAGTTTAGGCCAAAATAGTCGATTTTTTTTGGGGGGGGAATTCAGTTAGGTTACCTCGCCTAAAAGTTTATAATTAATTCACTTTGAATTCCTGACAATTCAAATATTAGTGAAATATCATGTAGGTCATCTATATTCTCTAACTTAGATATCCAGACCTAAATGTTTTACATTTGGTTTACACTCAATTTACTGTTTTTGCAGTCACAAAATATTTTATATTACTGACCATACTTTTGTTGATCCATCACCATTCATTCAGAATTCATGGTATTGAAATAATTATTCTGCCTTGCAAATGTGTTTATACAAAGTAAATGCCAAAAGTAAATTTAAAATGTGTTTTAAAATATATATACATTCTATTGCCATGTCTTAATCTCAGTTGTTGGCAACCTTCTGTGCTCCAGGTGTTGTGGACTACATCTCCCCTAATGCTTTGCCACCATTATGACTTCAAGAGCAATATGGGAGATTCCAAAGATTGCCAACCCCTCACCTAGTTCACGAAGCCTGCCCTACAGCTGTTGTATTGCTTAAAATTCTCTGGCAGACAAGAAATAGATCATTATGAAGAAAGTACTCGATATTCACCTATCTGATTGTTACAGTAAAGGAATGGTTGGAAGCTAGAAGATTGCTTGAAACATTGTGATTTATCAGACCACTTAATTACAGAAAATGTAAATGAACTATTTGGCATTTTCTAAATTTCTGAATACAATTAACATGTTTTATAATATTATTTAATGAAATAATGTTTATAACATTAACAAATCAAATTTAAATGGGGGAATATATGAAATGGTCATATGGTTATCTAGTAGAATTTGCTTATACGGCAGCAAATCTGGTCCAAAGCCATTATTTATAGCTTTGAATAAGGGTCCAAATTCACATATTTCCAAAAATCTGGAGTGAAAATACAGAACTGAACTGAACCAATTCAAATTTACAGAAAAATTGCCAGAATTAGTCATGTCTTCTTGCTGACTAATATAAGAAATACACACGGATTTGTTTTCAAAACCTTAACTTAGATCAACTAGGATGAAGGGGCCTAGTGACATATTACTGGAGGGGTTACTAACCCTGTTAGTGTTACAGGAGGGTTATGATTTAAGTTAGTTATTATATCCAATATTTACCATTACCATTCAGACTCATAATTAATACTTAAGAGATGATCCAGTGACTGTTTTGTATTCCACCTTTTTACTAACTCAATCTCAGTTTTTCATACTTTACTTCTACAGGTTTCTCTCAATTTGCCGTAGATAGTAAAGAAAACAAAATCGTGCACCAATTCTCACACAATTTACAACTCAAAGGTGATTTATATCAAAAAAAGCAGAATGCATGCTACTAAGTTACAGACAACAAAAACTGTCAAAGTATATGCTTAATTTTTTAAATAAAAATATGTTTTCTTAAAAATATTCTAATCCATAACAATATGTTTTCCATTTTCTTAACATGGGATGCATATTGGAATGAATATAGGAAAGTCTATAACTAGTTTCACACTAGTTATTGATTAGCCACATACAATCTAAAAATATATATATATTGGGATATGGGGTACATTGACGTTGTGGCAGGCTTGTGCAATATATGATCATATAATGTAACTAAACCCCCATTATTTTTTGCCTAAGTGAGGTGTTTTTAAATAAAACTATTACAATCTGTGAGATTTTAAATCATTGTTTAGTGAATAAGCGAGTATGCTGGATTGTGTATTTTGTACATTGTATATTTATATATATATATAATTCCTTTAAGTGCAATAAAGTGAGGCACATTTATGATAAACATGTCATACTTGACATGTCTTCCTTAATTCTCATCCTTCGTCTCATAGGGACCCTGAGATCAATGATGACAATTCTAATGATATCCAGATATTAGCAAATTGTCAGTCATTCCATAGGTACAAAGTTTAGCCAGCATTGTAATTATTAAGGGCCCTAAAGATGGAGACCAAAGTTACACTATAAAATACCAGATACACTTAGACGTCGTCTGTCAGACAAATCTTGAGATATCAGAATCTTTTTTTTCAGGTAAAAAAAATGAGCACATTACTGATTTTACAAAAATCCAAAAATGCATGAAGTGTGTCCTCAGAAGAAGGGGTGCACGTTTAAAGGCCATTATTGGCAAATAATGGTGGGTGGGGATACAGGGAAAATTGGTAGTATGTACATAAAATAATCTCCCTGCCGAGGTTACAGAGGCTAATATGGGAGGATAATGCAGGCATGATTAGAATATGCATAGCTATCCTGAATATTAAATCAGCCAGACAAGAGGAAAAATGCCAAAATGAGCTCGCGTATGTGGGTAGATACGTTGTATAGAAATGTTACACGCGTTGTCACAGACCTGCATTGTAACATCTTCATTCTACTTTCTCTCTTAATTTACTTATAAAGCACCAACATATTCTGTATCATTGTACAACAGGGAACGTGTTTATAGTAAATCTAGATAGCTGTTCTAGTGGAAGCGTAGATGATGCTTTGATCAATGTGTTTACAATGTAAATGGATTATGGTAGAATTACACAGAGTATATATTGCAATATATTCTGAAATAGAGGAATATTAAAAGGTGTACGGTTTATATCCAGTTATATATTAAATGCATATTGATTATATAGGATACATGTACATAGAACATATATTGCAATATATTCAGGAATCGGGAATAGGTTACTTGGTATACACTATATATCTAGCTATATACAATATGTATAAAAATGATCTCAACCTCAGTCTCTTTCCACCTTTAGTTGGGTGAGAATTCTATTACAGCTTAGTGAATTAGAATGTTCCCATAGACTTAAATGGAGAAGGCGCTATTTAGTTAGAAGACTGTCAAGGCTAAGAGAAATTCTAAGTGAATTTAAGGCCATAGTATCCAAAATATGAGTGAGTTACAGATTTTTGTTAACTTGGTTATTTTGCCCGTAAAGGGACACTGTAGTCACCAAACAACTTTAGCTGAATGAAGATGGCATATTGATCATGCCCCTGGAGTCTCACTGCTCAATTCTCTGTTATTTAGGAGTTAATTCACTTTGTTTATACAACCCTAGTATCACCTCCCTACAAATGACCTGCACAGACTTTCTAAACACTTCCTGTAAAGAGAGCTCTAATGTTTAAACTTACTTCATTGCACAGTCTATTTAATTTAGAATTTCTTATTCCCTACTGTTAATAGCATTATTGACTCTGCAAGTTCCTCCTGTGTGTGATTAAAGTTCAATTTACAAAACAGGACATACAAACTTCTAAAGCAAGTTAACATCTGATAGAAAATGAAACCATTTTGTTTTCATGCAGGCTGTGTCAGAAGATATGCCAAGTCTCCCGGAGGTTCTGGGAGACTCATGCATTTCACTGCGGCTCCCAGACACCCGCAAATCATATACAATATCCTGGAAATCATACACACAATCTAACATACGATGTATGTGTATGTGTGACTTCCAGGATATTATATATGATTTGCGCCCGCTGATAATGATCACTAATGATTGTGGCCCTTTAAGAGCCGACTAAGCCTGTGTAGTATCGGCCTGCAGGGAGGAGGTGACAGGCTGTGAATGAACTGAAGTTATTCTGATGCCTATAGTGTCTGTTTACATTTTAAATTCAGTATGATTTTATCTTGAACCTTGTAAGTCTTAACACTCTTAAAGGAACTCTCCAGTGCTAGGAAAACATATGTGTTTTCTTGGCACTGCAGGTTCCTGCAGTGCCCCTCTCCTTCCCACCCCCATCCCATGTTGCTGAAGGGGTTAAAACCCCTTCAGTGACTTACCTGAATCCAGCGCCGATGTCCCTCAGCGCTGGGTCTGGCTCCGCCCACGCTCCTCCCCCGCTGACAGGGGAGACCTAATGCACATGCGCGGCAATGGCTGCATGCGCATTAGACCTCCCCATAGGAAAGCATTATCCAATGCTTTCCTATGGGGATTCCGACAATGCTGAAGGTCCTCATGCATAGCATGAGGAGGTCCAGCTTCGTTTAAAACTTTTTGTGTTTTAAGAAAACGGAATTCCCTCTAGTGGCTGTCTATCTAGGACTTAACCCTGCAAGGTAATTATTGCAGTTTATAAAAACTGCAATAATTACATTTGCAGGGTTAAGGGTGATGGGAGATGGCATCCAGACCACTCCAATGGGCAGAAGTGTTCTGGGTACCTGGAGTGTCCCTTTAAGATAATGTAGTCTAATGTGTCTGATGTTCCTTTTTCATTGCATAAACCAATTGTTTGCTCTCAGATTATGGTGATGTAGGCTCTGAATAGTGTATTGGATTTAATTATATATATATATATATCTATATCCTCTTTAAAAAGCCAGGTTTCCAGTGTCTGAAAATTTAATATCAAAAGTTTGTTTGCCAAAAAAACGAATAGAATGGCGGCACTTTGCAGCTCAGTTTAATTATTTTAGATTTATTCACTGCAGTGAGATTTCAAAATGAATTCAAAGTGAATTTCAAAATGTTTGTCTAAATTAGCCACATCTGCAGCATTGCTGACAATTTGTCCCATTTGGCTATTGGGCCTTAAATTTGAAATTCACGTTGCATTCATACTTTACTAAATAACTCTGCTTGTGTTTTGTAAGCTCTTTGGATCAGGTTCTCCCAGCATCCTTCAGGTGCAGATGTAGTCTGGTAATGTCATGGAGTTTTATTGTGTTATATCTAAACAATCCATTTGTTCACAGAACTCATCACAGAGAGGGGCTGCACAGGACCGATCAGCTCACTGCATATAGGTCAGCGGTTAATTCTATTATACTTGTAATACACATATACAGATTGATGTTCACATCCACATAATGTAGATATTTTTCATTACGATTGATAGACTTCTAAGTTTACATTTAAATAAGAATTTCTCTAGTTGAGATAACATATGTAAAAGGCGGTGGTACCATTACTGCCTCATGTATGAAGTTTAGCAACACACAGCATATTCAGTGTAAATGTAGCTACACACAGCAAGTGATATACCCAGTTAATATTTAAACAAATTAAACTTTAAGGTAACATGTAAGCAAATTTACAATGTAATGAATTAGAATATAGCAAAATGTGATTAAAAAAAATACAGCACATCTAGTGAGGTATAGCAAGGGTACAGCACAGTGATCTCATGTTTTACCTTTTCATATAGATTATTTTTAAGATAAAGATACAAATTGTTGAGTAGTACATTCAGCCAAAATCTACTCTTTTACAGTTATACCTGTGTTGTTGTCCAGTCCATGTGATGTACAGTGGTCATGTCATGTTACTTCTTGAGCAAACATATAGCTTCCTACATGGTAGAGTTTCTTAAACCATTCATCCTGGATCACCAGTGATTTACTATTTAGAAATTACCTACTTCTTTTCCAATGAAAAGTTGATAACAATTGGACAAATGGTTATTCTATGAACCCCAGTTATTTGAATTAAAGATATGCTAGGTGAGGATCCGGCAACCCATAGCACTCCAAATGTTGTGGACAATATCTCCCATAATACTCTTACAGTCATACTGCTGCATCATGGGGAATTTAGTACACAACATCTGGAGCACCAAAGGATGCCTGCCCTGGCACTAGGTCATATTTATCAAGGTTTGCTATATTGGAGAACACTCTCTCCCAGTAGAGAGAACTCACAAGCTGCCATCCTTTTAAGGAAAGTAAAAACAGTTTCATAGATTTTCTTCTGCACATGTGTCTGTCTAGTTCATTGGATCCCAATCCAGTTCCCAATGTGCACCAACCGTACAGTATTTAGATATTTCCCATTACTGTTTCTGTGGGTACACTGACATATTCTGAACAATTGGTGAGCCTTAAAATGACACTATTGTCACCAAAACAACTTTAGCTTAATGAAGCAGTTATGGTGTATATATCATAACCATGCAGTCTCACTGCTCAATTACCTGCCATTTAGGAGTAAAATCACTTTGTTTACGCAGCCCTAGTCACTCCTTCCTGAATGTGACTTACACAGCCTTCCTAGAGTCATCTAAAGTTTACACTTCATTCATTGCAAAATCTGTTAAATTTAGATTTTCTTATTCCCTGCTATGTCAATAGCTTGCTAGACCCTACATGTAATTAAAGTTCAATTTACAGAGCAGGAGATACAAACTTTTAAATTAAGTAACATAAGATGGAAAATGAAACCATTTTGTTTTCATGCAGGCTGTGTCAGTCAAAGCCAGGGGAGGTGTGGCTAGGGCTGCATGAACAGAGGCAAAAGTGAATTAACTCCTAAATGGCAGTGAATTGAGCAGTGAAATTGCAGGGGAATGATCTATACACTAAACCTGCTTCATCAAGCAAAGGTTGTTTTTGTGACTACTCTAAGATCTGAACTGGAAACCACTACTCTAATAGTGTATAACACGTCAGTAAAATAATATTCCATGCCACAGGGGTATGGTGCTACACTTTGTCTTGGAGAAACAAAGATTCACATGTTTGACATCATTAGTGTTATGACACCCAACTTGTAATGCTGAGCTTACAAAGTATAGTTACCTTGTGCATAGTCAGAACCACATGTAGGAGGTAGATGGAGCTCCACAGGTTTCATGTTTTTGGCTATGAATTTTCTAACTGTTATGTTCTGTTTACTTCTTCAGGTCATGGAGGTTTGAATCAGCTAGGTGGGGCATTTGTGAATGGGCGCCCTCTGCCAGAAGTAGTTAGGCAACGGATTGTCGACCTGGCACATCAGGGAGTTCGTCCATGTGACATCTCACGCCAGTTGAGGGTCAGTCATGGATGTGTCAGCAAGATCCTGGGCAGGTAAGGAGAAACAATGAAAAGATCTTATCAGAAATTCTAAAATGTGACAGACATGTATATAAATTGCAGGGAATGCACATAGATGGGTCCTAGACATAAAGCAGAGAAAAGATTATACATTCTATGATTATCTATATAGCTCCTAAAATATATTGGAGGTTATAAGATCTTAAACAATGATACATAAAGAAACGGCATAATAAAAAGAGCTTAAATTTAAATGTCTATCAGGAAATAAGAGTACATGAGGTGACTTTGTGTTATACAGTTCTACATTATACTTCTTACACTGTATACATATATATACTGATGCATGACATTAACAATAGGATAAAATAATTCACATAACATAGAGGATAAACTTTTTGAAGAATTTGAAAGAATAAAATCCTCTTTTTTTCTGAGGAATACTCAAATAGCTTCTGTAGAGCAACATAGACATTGCTTAAAAAAGAGTGGTGAATTACTACACATTGGAGTCAGTTAAAACTAAATAGAATATAGACCATATGACTCATTTAATAGGGCATATCTGCATCTAATGAAATTAATCTATATACTCCAACAACATTGTGATATTCAGAGTATTTCATATTCAAGTATAAATAAATATGGGCCATCCAAACAATTGATCTAACAGTAGTTAGATCAGTAGTTCTAACTGATTGTTCTAATTTATAAAAAAAAAAAATGTAATTAAACATTCCCTTGCTGTTAGCATACAACTGTAGCATGCATGTGATAGCCAGAATTTAGCATCAGATTAATAGAGTGGTTGAAGGTCCCATGTGCACAACTTCAATGGGCCTTCACCATTGCTAAATTACTTTCTCCTTTTTTGAGGATAACAAGGTCATTTGTAGCTGTTCCCTACTCAACCCCTCTGGTCATGTCAGTGCAATTTAATCAGATAATAACGTTTCAGTTATATAATGTTGTGGTTTTTGGTAATTATACCTTGTTCTGTATTGGAGTAGGTACTATGAGACGGGCAGTATCCGACCAGGTGTCATCGGGGGTTCAAAACCCAAAGTTGCCACCCCCAAAGTGGTAGAGAAGATTGGAGATTACAAGCGCCAGAACCCCACTATGTTTGCCTGGGAGATCCGTGACCGACTGCTTGCAGAGGGTGTGTGTGACAATGACACTGTGCCCAGCGTCAGCTCCATCAACAGGTGTGATAAATAGATTTTCAATGTGCACTCTGTGTGTATATATATAATATGTATTTGAAATGCAGACTGACGACTATCTCCCCATGTTGAATAATTGCTATACTGTGGTGAGTGACTCAATCTGCCACAAATTGCTTTATCACCTTTTATGTATAGCCATTGATGCCCACTCTGTAACAAACATTTTATATTTTTTCCTCTCTTCTTCCTTACCAGTTTCGATATACTTAACTTTCCCCTGCAGGATCTTGTGTTTTGATTACTTTTATATGCCTTGTCTATTAGCACAGATGTCTGTAATGAGCTTCCTCTTAGACAATCCCATGGTAGGTGCTGTGTATGGTGCCATGTTCCAGCGATCTTCTTCACTGAAAGCTGGCACAGTGCCTATAGTCATGACTATCAGAGAACGCTGTATCCCTGGGGTTTTACAGACTATTTATATACTGTCAAATCATCCCTTTCTACATCATTGCAGCTTCTCTGAATTGAGCATTTTTGTTTTTAATGGGACTACATGTTTTTAACTTGATCCAGAAAATTGATTTAGCAATACATTGTTGTACATTTTGTGAAATGGCAGCATTATTTTATATAGGTGTAAATTGTTGGAAATTCAAAGTGAATTTCAAATAGTAGGCAAAAATAGCCAATCAGAATACAAGTCTGGATTGGAGATTTTATTTTCCTATATGGCTATTTTAACCTAAAATTTAGAATTTAGTTTGAATTCTTGATAGTTCACACTGGCCTGTTAGTCTGTATCCATGGCCTAATGTAATCGGTGACTGTTTATAAAATCTAGTATTTGTGAACCTGGAAGAACCTGCATATATTTTTTGCTATTTTTTGTTATATCTTTTTGTGTGGGAATTTCGTTTCCTTTTTATTATAACAGTATGTGAGTTTCTGTTTTGACCATACTAGTCATTTCAAGCTTTGTGTGCGGACACTAGGTACTTTGGCTTTATAATGGGTCATCTTAGGGTAAAATTAGTTCTGACATGGTTCTAATATCTTGCTGTACTTCTCTTTTTCTTATTATGACAGAATAATCCGCACCAAAGTCCAGCAGCTCTTTAACCTGCCTATGGAGAGCTGTGTGAAATCGTTAAGCCCTGGACATACTCTGAGTAAGTGCCATTGTGTCTCACTCTCCAGTTGATGGAGTTAATTCAAACAAGGATGTAGGCTAGAAGGACTTTCACACTGTCCACGAAAAAAACTGTCCACAAAAAAAAACTATTATAAGGCTGTCAGTCTTAGTCTTAGTTTAGACATTTGACAGTTGCCTTGCAGTCATGTTGTATGTTACAAAATTCCATTTATATTTCATAGTTGTTTTCTTAGAGCCATTTAGCCTTTGGAGTTAGGAATTAGGTTTCAATTTATAGGGTAGCTCCAATCCTCATAACCATTACAGCCCGCTGTACAGGCCAGGGCCCTATTAGTATTACATTCAAAACTTCTGCTATGTAGCATGTCTGAATGATGGTGCTCAAGTAGGAGTCAATACAATACTAAGTCAGGCAGTTCATGTAGGCTTGGCCAATAGTAAAAACCTTCCATACACAGTTATTAAATATTATTACTGGGAAGCACTATAAAATGCTTGATAAATTTTACAGCAATATTAAAGGGACACTATAGTCACCTGAACAACTTTAGCTTAATGAAGCAGTTTTGGTGTATAGAACATGCCCCTGCAGCCTCACTGCTCAATCCTCTGCCATTTAGGAGTTAAATCCCTTTGTTTATGAACCCTAGTCACACCTCCCTGCATGTGACTTGCACAGCCTTCCATAAACACTTCCTGTAAAGAGAGCCCTATTTAGGCTTTCTTTATTGCAAGTTCTGTTTAATTAAGATTTTCTTATCCCCTGCTATGTTAATAGCTTGCTAGACCCTGCAAGGGCCTCCTGTATGTGATTAAAGTTCAATTTATGATTGAGATACAATTATTTAAGGTAAATTACATCTGTTTGAAAGTGAAACCAGTTTTTTTTTTTCATTCATAGCCAGGGGAGGTGTGGCTAGGGCTGCATTAACAGAAACAAAGTGATTTAACTCCTAAATGACAGTGAATTGAGCAGTGAAATTGCAGGGGAATGATCTATACACTAAAACTGCTAACCTAAAAGTAATTTAGGTGACTATAGTGTTCCTTTAAATAATTCCGTTCTTCAAAACCAACATCAAAAGGGCAATCTGTGCACCATAACCACTATGGCTCACTGTAGCGATTATGGTGCACCGAGTCTTTGGTGGTGTACCCCAGATTGCTGTCAAACTATTATTTAGTGCTTTTCCTAAAGCCCAACCGATCTATAGCCAAATGAATAATAATGAAAGCTGCATCTTCCATTGAGAGGTTGCCCAACCATGGATTTTAAAGATAAGCTGATCTAATAGATCTGGTTTAATGGTTGCTGGGCACTTGTGTGGCAGTTCAGATGCCAGTCACACAGATTTAGTTGGCATGACAATTCCATAGGAAACAACTGGAATTTAAGGTGGTAAAGGGGAGGCAATGATTTTTAAGGCGGAATAGAAGGAAAAGACCAAGCCTAAGTGACTACATTACTTAACTAATGCTATTAAGTCATTTTACCAAAATCTTTATTGATACAATAAAATTACGTTCTGAGTTGTGTGCAGTTTAAACACAAAACATTGTAAGATTTAGATTTGCCGTTATCGTCATTTTCCTGTTTGTCTGTCAGTTCCTAGTTCAGCCGTCACACCTCCTGAGTCACCACACTCAGACTCTCTAGGATCAACCTATTCCATCAGTGGCTTGTTGGGTATCAGTCAGACCGGCTCAGATGGGAAACGCAAACTTGATGATAGTGAGTAGAATTTTTTTTCCCCCCAGAATGTGCATGTTCTCAATACGAACTTTTCCCAATATATACAATATTAGTGACAGTACACATTTTTTTTACTTAGGATGTAATTCTCAATCCTGGAACCTGATACTATTAAGTACGTATATTAGAAAGCAGAATAAAAAATATTACTAACTCGATCTAGTTCATTTTCATTTGTTTAAATATTAACTTCCCATGCAGATTTATCCATTTTAATCTACAAAGCCTTCCAATGTCATAGCAGAAAAGTCTTCAAATACGGTATACACAGTAACACAGTGGATTTCCACTTTTTCAAATCCATATACTCTATGTGGGGATGGTAGGTGTGTGTCTTAAATCTTCCAAAAAGCACAATATATAGAATAAATGTATGCTGTTTTGAAGATGACACGTCCATGCTAAGAATAAGGCAAATTAGAAACAGCAATGTTAGTGAAAATAAATGATCGGTATTAACCCATCCATTTAACAGGCTGACAGAACAAACATGAATATTACTCATCTGCACTTTTATGCTGGTGGTTGTTTGGTTGAAAAATATGTAGATGGTTTGTTAAGCTAGAACTCAGTTATAAAATAATAATAATAATAATAATAATAATATATGTGTAAATACACTGTAGGTAGTTAAACAATAAATGTATTTTTGGTAAAGATACATATACTATTTGAAGCAAGTAACTACATGAAACGTTTTTAAATACCATGGCATTATTAGCTGTTTAAACTATAGACTTTTACGGAGAACATTTAATTTCTCTTCCTCTTCTGCTTCTTCACCCCTTTCTCGTAGAATGTAAGCTCATTTGAGCAGGGCCTAATTCACCTCTTGTCTCTGTTATTTTCTGTATGTCAATTATTTGTCTAATATCTCATTTTTTATAATTGTAAAGTGATACAGAATATTAATGCTAATAGTAATAATAATAATCATCATTTGGTGATTTGCTAATCTGTCACGAGGAAATATGGATCCAATAATGATTGGAGTTGAGATTGTGAGGCAATAATATAAAAAAATCCCACTGATAGAGAAACGTTTAATAGGATATCTTCACGTAACTGTAATAAGGCATGAGTAGGCTTAACAATAGCACAATCATCTTGTATTCAAATACATGAATCCTTCATTTATAAGCATTTAAATTATAGCTAAAAAAAACAAAAAAAACAACACTTTTTCTTTCTTAATAATCGTTAAGAACTGAATTGGGAAGCAAAATGTGTGGAGTAAATGTGTGCCGGTGACAATTAAGGGAGATTTCAGGATTATTTTATTTGTCCCCTCCAATCTTCTGACTGCCCAGTTATGCTTTCAGATCTGTCCAACCCTACTATTAATATTGGCTGTAGTCTGGCCATAAGCTTACCGACATTAAAGGACATTCTAAAGTGCCTCTCTTTCTCTCTCAATATATATATATATATATATGCTTTGCATGGTTTGTTATGTTGTAATGAGACCTTTTTAAAATATTTCCATTTCTTAATGTCTGCAGGTGACCAGGAGAGCTGCAGATTGAGCATTGATTCCCAGGGCAGTGGGGGACTCAGCAGGAAGCATCTCCGCACAGAAGGATATGGCCAGCATCCATTGGACAGCTTAGAATGTCCTTACCAGAGGCAACATTTCCAAGAATCCTATCCCTCCACCAGCCACAGCAAAGCTGAGCAGGTTGGTACAATGAAAGCATTATATTATGTTTCCTCTCCATCACTTCTCCTGGATGATCACTATCTATGATGTCATTGCAGGCTCTTTACCCTCTTCCGCTGCTCAATAATGCAATGGATGATGGGAAATCACCACTGACTGCCACCAACGCGGCTTTAAGCAGAAACCTCACCTCACACCAAGGATATTCTGCACTGTCTGGTAAGAACACAGTCTTCTGAGAAAAGATATAATCCAAACATTTTGTCAGCGGGAGGGACGGGCAACAACTGATAGTCTGCAACACACTAGTACTTTATTCACATCAATGCTTTTCTTGGAGCATAGGAAAATAGTTCACCCCTGACTGATTAAGGGACCAAAAACAATTAAAAACAACACAAGTATAGCTATGATGACATCAATGCAACTGTTTTTATTTGTTTCTGTACTTCTTAACAAGAGATCATTAACGCCGACTTAACCAGGGGCTAGCAAAGGGCCATTAAGATACTTGGCCAAGCTTGGCCCCATATGCGATCACTATACTCAGTGTGAACCACAATTCTGAAAATCGATTTTTTTTATATCAATCTTTGGATTATTTATTAAACTGCTAATTGTGGAAAAAAGAAAACTGCATAGGACGTACTTGAAAACCAGAGCAATCTGAATGTACCTTTGCTGGTTAAATACTTTGTTATTATTATTATATTATATGCTAAAATTGATCAATCAGAAAAAATATTAATCTCTGCTACTTCTCTAGCCCAGATATTTTGACCTCAAATGTGCTCTTGCCTTGTCAGTTCTTCACAATTCCCAGTTTTGTGAATATTTTATCCCATTAAGTTGTTCTAATTACAGTGTGGCAAATAATTATTACCTGCTGATCTCTGACATATTTTGCAGTCCTGCACAATGGGTAATTTCACTCCCTCGCATGTTTGCATTATGTTGTGTATATTATTAAACTCAAACACTACTGGTTTTATAGCTTGGTATACTTGCACCAAAATTCTTTTAAGAGATCTGTCAAGCTGTTAATTAAAAATGTAATACAATGTAAAAACTATTAAATCAAATAAAAGAAAACAAGTGATCTACTTATATTTTCTTGAAAAAATATATTATTAGTTTTATTGGTGTTTATTCTTAAAGACCAAAATAGTTTCTTGAGTTGTTGAACACTCTCTCTTCACAGATTGAAGTTAGTGTTATATTGTAGCATATGGGTTACTAAACAGTAAGTCGTGTGGAATTAGCAACCGCATTAGCTAGAGATTTCTTTAATAGCTTGGCTCTTTTTGACTCAAAAGTATGTCTCCTTGCCAGCACATACTGGTTAATGAATAAAACCCCTAAAAGATATTACAAGTTGAATGTTGCCAGATATCAAGATATCATAGAATTAAATTTTGGAGCCCAGGAATCCTTACATTTAGGTATTTCTGAATGAATACATGACTCCATTAAGTGTTCATTTCATGTAGAACCAGACTACAGAAAAACAAGAGGAAATATAAAAAGTTTATGTAGTAGGATAATTAATTGGACAAATTTAGCCCACAGATACTACTAAAAAGTGTAATAAAGGCTAGAGTGCCATTCATACATTTATAATTTTTTTCATCATCAACTTCATTCATAAAACATTATCATTTGTCCTGCTTACTATACCACCCTCTGTTTAATTACTAATGAGTCTGTGCTTTGAAGTAAATGTAATTAATTAGAATTCAGTTTCATTAAACGTTCGTTTGAGGTTGTTACTTTACCTTCAACCCATGGTCTCACATAAGGCATATATTCTCCTCGGAGCTATGATCATCTGGAAAAATTAAAGGGATGGCTAATCACCACTGAGGGCAGATTTGCCCAGCGCTTGCAGCCTATTGTTACTGTGTCAGGTTGAATGCTTTCAGTGGATAATGCATACATGAAGCAAGAGATTTTTTGTCAAACTGCTCAAAAAAACTGCTCAATAAATGTTTGAAAGAAAGGAAAAGCCTTAAAGGAACACTATAGTGTGAGGAATACAAATGTGTACTCCTAATGCTATCGTGCGTTATTAAATGTTTAGGTCTCCAGTCCCCCTTGTAATGTTTTAAAATGCAATATTATTTATCTTTTCTCTCTTGCAGCACTGGTCTCTGCATTGCTGTTCTGCCTCCTTGGCTGAGATCATAGAAATCAATGATCTCATGCAATCCAATGCTTTCCAATAGAAATTGCTATTACATTGAAAGTGCCTCTTGTGGCTGTCTGACTGAGGCATTTAAATCTTGTATTGCAGGGGTTCCCAACCCAGTCCTCAAGTACCCCCTAACAGGCCAGGATTTACAGATTACCCAGTTGTGTCCTAGGTGTTTTTAGAAAACAAAATAAAATCACTTTAGACACAACAGGGTGATTCCTAAATCCTGGACTGGTAGGGGGTACTTGAGGACTTGGGAACCCCTGTTGTATTGTAAACATTTCCATTCTACAGGATGCTAATGTTTTACACTGCAGAGACAAAGCTACAGTAGCACGACAACCAGACCACTTCATTGAGATAAATTGGTATGGTTGCCTATAGTGTCCCTTTAAACCCTACAATAAACTGTAGTGGTTATGGTGCCTTGATAATCTCTTTAGAACCTGTGTAGAGGATGCACAGGCCTAGGTATCTGCTGGTTATAAAAAAAAAAAAAATGATAGCAACTATTACATAAATAAAACTGACAGACCATTTAGGAAGAGAATGCCTACATATTCAAATCTAGACTTCATGGTCATCATCATTACTTTTGTATTTATGTTTCTCTTTAATTTACACACAATTTTCATCCCATTCATCACCAATTATAGAATTATCTGCATTCACCATAAAACAAGAAGCATCTGACAGCTCCAGCACTAGCTCCACCCCTTCATCATTATATAGTCCCACCTTCTTGGATCTGCAGCCAATGAATTCAGGAGCCTCAACCCCACATTTCACAGCATTCTCTCATACAGGATCTGTATATGGACAGTTCACTAACAACAGGGCTATTACAGGTATGGCTATCACCTGAATCAAATGACCAAACTGAGTCCATTATGACTACATCATAACTTATTTCACTATACTATTTTTACTTTATCTGCCATTTAAAAAAAATTTATATCATAAAATGGTAAAAATAAATTTAAATGTATAAAACTTTTTTAAAAGTTGGTAGCACTTATATTTCTGTCTTTTACACTCAACTAAAAAAATACCTATTTTATCATTTTTATTCCACAGAGGGTTTAAATATAAGTGAGTCTGAGGTTGGGGTAGACAAACCATGTACAAAAATGTACCATTAAATAGATGCTATTGAGTTTGGAAAAAAGTTAGATATGTATAAAATATAATATTTATTCTCGATGGCTTCTCTGAGATCTCAATCATTGTATATGTGTCTCAAATAAAGTTGCCTATAAATAGTAATCGGTGTACATGATCCAATTTTGTTTATTGCTGTTCCGAGTGTGGCCCCTTCAGTACATTTGGCACCTGAGGTCCATCTCCATGTCTATGTTTGCCTTCTCCTCTACACATCATAAAATGGAAATAGTACTTTGTCAGGGTTATTTACTAAAGTGTGTACTGCTGGGATTTAATATTCCCAAAGTCATCTGTTTTCAGTTCACCTATTTTAGCCTAAAATTTTAAATCCATGTCAATTAACGCTCACCCAGTGTAACTAATTGGGCTTTCATTAATTATATAGAACAGTTTGGAATGCAATACCATAAATTTGAGTTAGATTTCTACTTTATATACTGCGTGTAGGATTGAGTTAACTTGGTGGCTCGTATTCCAGATGAAGAATCTGTTCAAACCAAAGAATTGCAGGAGAGCTTCTTGTCATTTTCTGGCTGATACAAATATTACCACTAAATTAGATTACACAAACATCTTTAACTGCTTATTCAGTTAAAATACACAAGTGTGCACTATAGTACTTGGGTGTAGAGGGGAGTGCTATATAAAATTGAGCTTATTGCATTACTAAATATTATTTCATGCCACTTTTTCTTATAACTCTTATGATTCCATTCCATCAAGCTTTCAATGTTTCTCCTTCTGGTGGGTCACATGAAATATTTCATATAGTTAATATACATGATTTTGCAACAAATAGCTCCAACAACCTTGACACATGGAATGACATAACGTGCTGCAGATTGATGCTGCTCTATCATAGATTATAATTTACTCTTTCAATATTTACACAGGACGTGAAATGGTTGGATCCACGCTACCAGGATACCCTCCTCACATACCCAGTGGGCAAGGAAACTATGCCTCCTCAGCTATTGCTGGGATGGTAGCAGGTACGTGATAGGTGAACGAATGGCAGGGAAGGGAAGATCCCCAGTATTGCTCTCACTGAGATTGTCCGTGATTGACATTTTGGAATGATGAAAGGAATATTTTTGTCATTTGAAGCATGACTGAAATCAAGTCAGTCAGAATTATTCAACAAGATGGAAACTGTTAATAATTGGCCCAGGGATTTCAATTTGTAGGCCAATTTAAAGACCTGCAATAAATAAATGAAAATCGCCAAGTGGGAGAATATTTACAGTTCGGCTTTTCTTGGACTAGAATTTCAAATTAACTTTATATTTCTAGGAAAATCTAATTTAGTGAATAATCCTACTAGTGTTTTTGTCTTGTTTTGGATATACAACAGCATCACCAGGTATATGTTGAAGGACCACTGCAGGCATGTAGATCACTTCATTTCAATGAAGTTGTTTGGGTGCAGTGGTCTTGTCTTTTAGTCCTTCAATGTAAAACATTGCCATTTTGTAGATATTGCGATATTTACATTGCAGGGTTAAATACACCTCTGTTGACTGACAGCAACTAGCAGGTGCTTCCATGGCACACAACAGCATGGCACACAGCCGAGTTTTACGTGTCATGTGAGATTCAACGTTGAAGGTCATCAAATGCTTACCATAGGGAAGCACTGAGTTCAATGATTCTCTATGAGATGCATTTGATAGGACTAGTGTGGCACTCTCCTTACATGTGCTTCTCATCCTCAATGCTTCTCTATGAGAGGCATTGGATTGGATGAGATTAGCAAAGATGAGTCAGCCTCCACAAAGACATCACCAGAGGCAGAGTAGGCTTCTCGACGGAGTGAGCTGTGGCGCTGGAAAAAAGGTATGTAAAACCCTTGTTTACCATTCTTAAATTTGAGAATGGGGGACTTGAATATAAATAGTGAGGAGAACATTATAACGTTAAGAATACATGTTTCCTTTAAAGGTTGATTTTGTTTCAGCCAAAGTTTTTTATGTTAAAATGTAAATGGGGTGGTAGACTGGGAATGCAAGGACAACCATGGTTATACTATTTATTCCAAAAATATCACAATTCAAAACCTGTATTGTACACATACTGCTACTGATATGAATGATTCCCCCCCATATTTTAAAATCCCATTACAAGCATAAATAATTTAAAAATAATGATAATTATCTCTGATCTTTTACTTGATTGGAGTTTTCCCCTAAAGCCCTGTCTGTGAATATTGATTGATGACCTGCACAATGCTTGCTTCTAGCAAGTAAAGGGTTAAGATTTGTTTGGTGTCAGTGACCCCAGATGACCTCTGCAGGTACATTTAAATGAGAAAGACAAGCAGAATGTTGGAGCATAATGTTAGAACCTACACCCATCCAACACCCCCCAAGCTCACATCTCTGGAACCTGCTGAGCCAGCGTCTTATTGCGTTACCACGGAGACGGGCTTAATGCAGCGTTAAAAATATAAAGTACTTATATTCCCCCTCCCCAACCAACACCCGCGCCGTGCACACACTCCTTCCTCTCTTGGAGCGTGAAATGAGATTGGTCAAGATAAATAAAAAGAAGCAGTTATATTTTAACTGTGTGTGGAATTTAACTGTATATGTAAGAGACAGATTCATTTCCAACACCCCATAATCTGCATGTTCACTGATGGATCTTTATACAGACAGGCATACATCATGCTCTGCCTATATATCTGCACGGCAGCTCTTTGCACATACCTGTTATTGACATGAATTTATCTTTTCAATTTCCACGTTTTTTTAGTCAATACATTTTTTTATAGATCAGAATTAATTTGTATATAGTAATAAATCATTTTAGCACAGTGGTATCAGACACATGTCTGATTTAGTATTGAAATACCCCCTACACGGTAAAAAAGATTAGGAGCCAGTGCTATAGTGCCCAACTGCTCGGACCTAGTGCGTGGGGATTCAAAGTTGTCCCTTGAAGGCCAGTAATCATTAGAAAAGGCTGCTGTGAGCTTAATCTAGTGTAAAATGTTACCAGCTGAAATCTTCTTCAGTTATTGGTGTTATTTCATTGTGGTTAGTAGTAATGGTATAGTTGACAGGAAAGCTTTACATCCATTTCCCTACTACATATTGATGGTAGATTGGACATGATATGTGCTAACTGCTGCAATACCGGAGGAGTAATTATAATTTTCAATTTTTCACTGTGGATGTGTAGTGTTTATTTTTACATACATAGACTGTAAGCTCATGTGATTAGGGTCCTCATCAACCTACTGTTCCTATCTTTATAATTGTCTCATTTATTGTTAAATTTCCCCTCTTATAATATTGTAAAGCGCTACAGAATATGTTTGCGCTATATAAATGCCAAAAATAATAATAATTTAAGGTGATGGATTAGACAGATGATAGATAGAAAGATAGATAGGGAAAGAGATATAGATAGATATAGATAGACAGACAGAGAGAGAGAGAGAGATAAAGAGAAATAGAAATAGATAGAGAGAAATAGAAAGATAGATAGAGATATATAGATATAGATCGATAGATAGATAAATAAAGGTAGATTGATAGAGAAAGATAGATCGATAGATAGAGATAGATCGATAGATAGAGATAGATAGATAAGGAAAGAGAAATAGGTAGAAAGATATGGATGGATAGATATTGTGCGCCATAAGAAAAGCCATAGATTGGTTTATTAGATGATCACCTTATATTTTAAGATAATGTTTTGTAATGTTCTACAAACCCATGCTCTGTCGTGCTGTTCAGGGATAATTCTCACTGAAGCCAGGGGTAGGATTAAGTCAGTGCAGCACTAGGTGAAAGAGATATAATGCTCCCTCTGTTGTTACCATAACCTTATAGTTTGTGATTTCTCAGCAGGAGGTGATTACTCTGGAAATGCATATGGCCATGGAGCATACGCAGCGTACAGTGAAAGCTGGCGTTTCCCCGGTTCCAGTCTTCTTAGTAAGTAATGAGATGGTTATAAGGAAAGTAGGAGAATCTTACTGTGATCGTCAAACAGAAAGATGGATTCATGTTTATTAGACCCAGGGTCACTGAGGTCAAAACCTGACACCAAGGCTTAACAAAATGGGATTTTACCAAAATAGATGGTTTTACAGACACAGGAAAAATATGAAAATACACATACTCATCATTTTATAAACATAGCTGTGATTAATTTATATAATTAATAGCTTAATCGTCATTGATGGTTTACGTTATCATAACATTGTGTTCTTTCCCATTAAGGCATTAAATTAATAAATTACCAATTTTTTTTTCCTGAACATGTATAATTTGGGCATGAGTTTCAAGGCGAGAGAAACATTGTATAGTCTGAACTCTTTCTATATACACTAATGGGTGCCCCATGGTTTTAACGCTAACTCTGGCCACCATAATGATTGAGTTAGTAGTGTGTAAAACCTTTCAGTATATTTACCATACCAATCTTCCTTTGTATTTGCTTATGTGTGTTCCAATACAGAACTTATTCAAATTAGCCTGACTGGCCCTAAAGCAACTTAAAATAATTGAAAAAAATGCTGATTATATGATTAGGGCCATAAATCAGATTGTTTTTTGTTTGTTTTTACAAGACATCAGATTAGTGATAAATAGCAAAATTACCCTTGATTTCCTTTTAGTAAGTATCAAATTTGTAAACCTATGAAAAATCCAGTGGATTTGTTTTCTAATATGGAGTGTGCTTTGATTTTTTTTGTGATTAGCTCCAATGTTTAACCACTAGTGTAACTTGTAGGATAATAATTAAATACAATTTTATGTTAAATACTGGTTTACAGACAATTACGTTACAATCACCCGATTAGGCACAACATGGATGTAGAATGGAAGGGGACATATTAGAGAGCTAAAAGTCACCAATGACATTAGTTTTTGTAAAACCAATTATTATTCAGAAAAGCACTTGAGATGATGTTCACCTGCAATTCCAGATATCAATCAATAAACAAAATCCAATGTCTTTTTATGTTTTCAACACGCTTTTATGCATAATGTTTATACTCTTCTGGTTATTTGACAAAAACATAAATGGGCTGAAACATTGTCAGGTCTCCATGTATTGGCTATAATAAAAACGTGCTGAAAACATACAACATCAGATTTTTTTTTTTTTTTACTAAAGTAGTCCATAGCAGTCTTCCTTGTAAGGTAGTGGTTATTAAAGGAACACTCTAAACCTCTTAAGTACTTAAGCTTGCTGAAATGCTTTAGTGGTTAACAAAGTGTTCCCTTTTTACTTTACAAAAGTGCTGATTTAAGGGAAAATTTTATAGCGCTCCTAGAGTTGCTCTTCTCTACATGCTTTGATCGCTTGGTCAAAGTTGATGTGAGGTTTCTCATAGAGAAACATTGGTTTCAAAGTTTGTCTATAAAAATCATTGCCAGCACGGAGTGGCAATTGTTTTGCACGTGCTATGGCCCCTAGTGCTTAACTGTAAGAAACACGGGATTGGCTGGGAGACCATCACTACTGATAATCTCCTGTGGGAGGAAAGGAGCACACTTCTGGATAAGAATAAGTAGCCTCTTTATATAAGTGGAACAGAGGTGGGACCACTACTCCAAATAGCCCATACAACACACGGTGTTATTTATACATTTATTTACTCATAACACTGGAGTGTCTCCTGCACCTTTTGAGATATGGGATCCAATTTATGTACATGACAATAGCAGGGCTCCTCAAGTGCCTCCATAACTTGTTTAAATAGCCTTGAATTCTGTTCAAAGGCACCTCATGAGCCATAGGTTGTTGACTTCTGGTCTACCAATTAGCTGATCCTGCTTGGGCTGATTTAATTCAGCGCTGTCTTGGAGTTGCAAGCCCAACGCACCAAAAAGCTTAGCTTAACACTAACAGGAATTAGAAATGACATCTTTCCTGATGTTAGTATGCCACACAGAGCATGATGTAATGTTACCTTCTCTTTCTGTTTCCATGATGATGAGTTTTAATTACATGCTCATGATTGATTATATTACTTATTAACTATGTCTTGTTTAACAAATTAAATCCTTCCTTTTGTTCCTCTACTTAGGTTCCCCTTATTACTACAGCTCCACTGCAAGGACTGCTCCCCCTCCCACAGCAACAGGGGCCTATGACCTCCTGTAGTTTCTATGGAGCCCAATGGAACAACTTACCCAACGCGAGAAACTGGGCCCTGGGAGAGAAGCTTAACGGTGAACAAACATCGCTTCACCATGGCCACCCAAAGATATTTTGCCAGAGTGATAACGAGTAACTTTACTACTTGTGGACAATCCTTAATTTATCTAATTCTGTTGGGCTCTTGAGGAAAACATGAGAGAGACAAATTAATACCTGGGACCCAAAATACATTTTAAATTTGTCAGTACCAAGCCTCTGCTTTCTGATTATAATAATTATGCCTGCAGAGTCAGGAAAATTCAACTCACTGATTTATAAGAAATGCATCTGTATGTGTATGTGTGTACTACAGAACAAAACTTTGAAACTATTAATTAAAATACCCATGTAAGCCACATGTGCCCGGAATGAGTGGGAATTTATGATGTCAACAAACTGTGTGCATTCAGCTATAGTGGACGCCTGTTGTTAATGTTTTCATATGACTGAATCGTCCTCTTTAATAATAACGCATACATGTGAGACATATATATATATATATATATATATATATATATAAAAACGAAGAATCTTGCACTCCACCAAAAAATTACTGTAATGCCCAGTGCTTGTCAGCTAAGAATATAAAAATTGCAAAAGATAGCCCTCCAAGGACTTATATGAAATATAACTTTTATTTACCGTCCAATAAAAAACGGTCAACATTTCAGCTTGATTCCCTCAAGCTTTCATCAGGACCAGGTCCTGATGAAAGCTTGAGGGAATCAAGCTGAAACGTTGACTGTTTTTTATTGGAAGGTAAATAAAAGTTATATTTTATATAAGTCCTTGGAGTGCTATCTCTTGCAATTTTTGTGTGTGTATATATATATATATATATATATATATATATACACATATACACATATACACATACATACAGGATATAGAAAATACATCAAAAGTCTTCTTATTGTTTAGTAGAATAGAATAAAAGAGGTCCAGGCACTTCTTGGTTCAAGACAGGCACTTTATTGGAACCACAGAACCACCTGTGGTTCCAATAAAGTGCCTGTCTTGAACCAAGGAGTGCCTGGACCTCTTTTATTTTATTCTACTAATCTGGGAATTTGGTGTTTGGTTCCGGTACAGAAAGCACCCTGGCTCTGACTGATGGGAGTGAGTGCAGTTCCATACATACTTAAAAAAAAATGCTTATTGTTTGGCTGGAATAATGTCATGCTAATAGCCTGGACAAAGAGGCACATTACTACAAGTGACTTGTGAAACCTACATTCCAAATATTAAACTATGAAGCGCTTGTTAGGTTTCTCACTGTAAGGTGATTGTGCTGCCAAATATATCAGAGTATAAAAATAGGTAAACCCCACAAGAGGCTTCATATATTACATTTACGAAGAAGATTCTGTGTAAAAAAACAGGGTGGCGCAAAGTGTGTGAATAATAAAATCTACAAATTAAGATGTATTTAAATATATATATATATTAATTATTTACGTAGATGTATACATACGCGCACTATGCATTTCTTTTGTGTATGGGTTTTTTTCCACATGTACTGTGCAAGGTGGCAATATTTAACCCACTATGTGACAGAATGGTGTGGGACACATTGCTCTGATACAAAGAGCAGCCATGTTTACCTCATTATGAGTGCAATGCAGCTAAACTTTGCAACTTGGATGTGCCATAACTCAGTCTGTAGTAAATAAAACCCATACGTGAGTATTGGAAAGAGTGAACGGATAATCACTTTAAATGAATGATTCTGATACAAAACGCATCATGTATTGTCTATTCAAACTCCCCTGTTTAAGGGGAGAAGTATCACATAAATATGTAAACATTGTGAAAGTTACCTGCTGTGCATTTTACTTTAGCAAGTAGGGCTTCATTTTGAGAAAGCATGCAATGAGCTGCAGGGAGAAACAAAATGGAAGGAGACATGTTTTATATTGAGCTGTTTTCTGATTGGATGCTTGATTGATTTCATCCAATCAGAATACAGCTGTAATTCAAATCATGTTCTATCACCAAGAATTCTCAGATGAGAATGTCAGCCCCCAGTCTATTATAAAATACACACATTTTGCAGAGATACAAGTTAAAATAACCAAGTTCCATAATGTTTACATATACATTAAAACATATTTACTTGTGTTCATTTCAGAATAAGAAGCTATGTTTTAACATTATTGTCATATTAAAATGAGTTGGTGGGATCACAGGAAGGCTGCAGCTTTGCACTAATATATTTTACCAGATATAACAGTGTGTACATACCTGAATTACTATGTAAATAAATTATTTGTAAAGTAAAATATTTTAAATAAAAAAGCATGATTTAACCTGGCTGATGCAGTATTTTATAGGTTTCGACAGAGGTCATGTAATCCACAGTGGTTGAATCAAACTGATTACATTAGCTAAAATGATGAGATGTTTTCTGCAAGAATTGTGCATATAAATGTATTCAAGTACAGAAACTGTACGAGTGAAGCACTTACACAGCAATTGTTATATAGAAGTTGCAGGAGCTGTGCATATAAATTGTTTTGTTTTTTTTCTGCTACATTTGTGCACATATACCTGACATTTCCTCACCTGGCTTAGAGTCATAAGAATTACAGTACTAGATAAGATATAACTATATTTTTTTAACCTTAAAGGGACACTATAGTCACCAGAACTACTACCGCTTATTGAATTTGTTCTGGTGAGTAGAATCATTACCTTCAGGCTTTTTGCTGTAAACCCTGTCTTTTCAGAGAAAATGCAGTGTTTACATTACAGCCTAGTGATAACTTCACTGGCCACTCCTCAGATGGCTGTTAGAAATCCTTCCTGGGTAATGGCTGCCTAAAATGCATCACAACACATCAGTATCTCCTCCCTCTGCATGCAGACACTGAACTTTCCTCATAGAGATTCATTGATTCAATTCATCTCTATGAGGAGGTGCTGATTGGCCAGGTCTGTGGCTTGAATACAGTAAGATTTTGCTATATTTATGGAGGCATGAGGGGCCCAGGGGGGCTAGATGGTGGGGTCAGGAATACATGTTAGGGTCATGCTTGTGTTCCTGATCCTATAGTGATCCTTTAATATTTCTCCCAAAGGGAATCTTAATTTTAATGCAAACACTTTATTATAAAGGCACATACTTGAGGACTGCATCCCATACTTGAGGATTGCATGTCACTTCCACACTTTTATTTTCTATAAATGTATAATATATTATAAAATAATTAAAGCATTTTATAATATATTGCATTATAAGTGTATTTTGAGATATATCTATATCTCAAAGTACACTTATGATCCAATCATATATATGCCTTATATATGTATAATATATTATAAAATGCTTTAATAATTTTTTAAATATATTATACATGTATAATACATGTATAATATATTTATTTGATTATTTTATTTAATTTTTTTAAACTTTTTAGGTGTCAGGGAGACTGCCTGACAGCTCAGGGCCAGGATGGCGGGAGGACGGCTGGGCGTACTATGCCGCCCTCCGGCGTTTAGAACCACTCTTTTAAAGACTGCATGTCCATCATCCAATACTATAGGGGCCCAGTCGTGGTCTTAGACAGCCGTGGCTCCTGGCCGGACCCCTGTTTAGCGATACCCATTGGGTTTTTATAGTCTGGGAGGTCCAAAATGTGTCCATAGGGCATTTTGACTTGCACAAATTTCACTCATGGCATGCAATCAATTCAGGAAAATTATTTTGACGAACCAAAATGGTGTGAAGATGGGCCAGCCAGTGAGAAGAAGTAACCAACAGTGTGGGAAAAAAAGAAGGAGCAGTGAAATCTATATTTGTACATTATATATATATATATATTTTTTTTAAATTCTTTATTTTTCGTGCATAGATTATACATGTAACAGTTTTCTAGCGATGCCACAACAGCTATCGCCAGGGTTTGGGTAGACATGTAAATACAATTGTATGGCAGGAATAACTTTGCACATTTTTATATATATATGAGAAGAGTAGTAGGCAGAGTATTGTAGTATAGGTACTGTGTTGCGATTTATGTAGAGTATATGTCAGATGGCTCAGAGATGAATTGGTCGGTTGACCCCGGTGTGCTGGGACCGTACTCTTATGAGTGGTGTGTGGGTTGTAGGTGGTTGAGTCGTGTACCTCTGTGTGTATGTAAGGTAGAGCCTTAAGCCATGTTGGTAGCTCCGGTATGTAGTTCTTAATAGAGGGTGAATACATGGTTCTTGTTGTAGTGAGCGTGGTGTTTGGTTGGGTTGGTTGATTTGCGTCCGAATGCGTGCATGTACAGCTCCTCCGTGGAGTGTGTATGATGGATGCATATGATGGGAGCTGGGAGGGGGTAGTTATTAAAAAGGAGCCAGTGTGTCCGGGGTAATTCACAGTGTTGGCCGTGTTTGGCCTCTGTGTGTAGTTGTGTTACAACTTTGTGTAGTGTTCTAAACGTTTGTCACATAGTCAACATTTAACAGAGGGCTAAGCCCAACATAGAGAGTAGTAACATATAAAGAATGTATAGGCTTATGAGTCAGGTGTTCTCCCTCCCAGGTCCTCCCTCTGAAGCGGGGATGAACGGGACAGTTTTCGCTGGGTCCCAGGTTGTAGAGGGGGATGGTGCTGTGAGGCCCAGGGCCTCTAGGACAGTGTCCATTTCCGAAATGTCCGCCACCTTATATTCAGTGTCTTGGTACTGAATGAGGAGTACATGCATAGGTCCCCAGCGGTACTTCACTCCCCTAGCTGCCAGCGTAGTCGTCAGCGGACGGAGGGATTTCCTCCAGAGCAGAGTATTGCGGGAGAGGTCAGAGTAAAACGACAGTTCCATATCTTCAAATCTATAGGGGTTTTTCCCCCTGGTGGCACTCATGAAGGCTGCTCTGTCTTGACCGTTTTGGAACTTAATCAGTAGATCGCTGGTAGTTGCGCTTGAGGATATTGATGGTTTGGGCAGGCGGAACATCCCATCTAGTTGTATTCCTTTGGCTTGCCTAGGGGATAAGAGGGCCGTGAATAGCCTTCGCAAAAAGTGAGGCAATTCTGCTGGGAGAACTCCATCAGAGAGGACCCTGATTTTTACATGTTTCCACCGTCGTTTATCTTCCATAGCTGCTAGTTGGTGGGTGAGAGTAGTGTGAGCAGCTGTCAGGTCGGTGACCTGCCTCTGTAGTGCCAGGACCTGTGTTGAGGTTGTTTGGGAGGTCTGTTCCACTGCAGTAAGGCGGGCAGTGAACCCCCTGATGTCTTCCCTCACCTGGGTTATTTCAGTGGAGAGCGTTTGGCGGAGGTCCGTGAGGAGGTTAGTAATTACCCCCGTGGTGACCGGGTGAGAGGAGCCTGCTGTCTGCTGTGGAGGTTTGGGGGCCCTTTATACCCTAGCGTACCTGGGCTGTGTAAAGGGACCTCTTCTGAGCTGTCAGTGAAGTCGTCGTATTCAGCCGCCATATTGGATCCGGCCGCGCCATGCGGTCTCCTTAGCAGGTCTCCTATGTCCGCTGTAAACCGCGGCTGATCCGCCCGCGGTTTTTTATTTTTCCTCCCCATCTGTGTGGCTTCTCTTTCCGACCGTCAGCCGGGTCGTGTGAGGCTTGATGTCGGCAGTAGTTAAGCCGGTAGTGTTACCCGACCGGGAGAGCTGCAGTCGTGCGTCCGATCTCGCTGGGCGCTAGCTCCGCCCCCCAACATTATATATTTATGAAACATATAATATATACATATTTAAATATAGATTTTTTTTTTTTTTTACTGCTCCACCCTTTTTCCACTCTGTTAGTCACTTCTTAGATTTAACTATCTCTATTTTGGCACCATCAACTGAAATTCGCATCATTAAACAAAGCAGCTTGTCCAATGTCTGTTTTGTTTGTTTTGTGATACATCATTATGGAATTTCAGAGTTATAGAATTTGGATGACCAGCCGATCACCCAATTTTCAGACAAATAGCAATTCCTGTGAGACCAAATGCACAAGTTTAGAGGTTATAGAACAGCTCCTATTCATTAAATATGTTAGAAAATGATCCCTTTGGAAGACATTTTGTCCTAATTCATCCCTCATTAAACTAATCTCCAACATCATATTTATCTGTTTATTTTCGTGAAAAAAAATCCAATGCTGCTCAATCCTTTCTTGAAAGGTAAGATATGACCACTATACGGCTCCACAGTTGAGGTGGGAATTTGTTTAGGATGCATCTACCAATCGACCACACTCCATACAAGAGTTTGGATAGGCAAAAGGCAGCATTCAATTCCTACTGTGAGGTCTCTAAAACGCAAATTGCTGCAGTTATAAACAGTTGTGTGCATAGACACAGTGACAGAGTACCTCAATGTGTCATAAACAATGCAAAGAGTATATAGTATCTATAGAAAACGGTGTCTCTTTCCATCCCCTTATCTACATTTTCTCAAATTCCCCGCACGCCATCTTAATGTGATCAGAGGAGATTGAAGGCACAGTTTCAGCCTGTGAGAGACCTGGCTGTGAAGTTCTCATCCAGTGATGGCTGCAGGGAAATTAGCTCTTTTTACGGAGCATCTCGCCTCCATAGACCTCAATGCTGTACTCTCGCGCTTCTGCAAGAGTCCTGCTGTGATGTCAGCGCCTTGCAGCTGGAGTGCCATGAGCAGAAGAGGAGGAACCGGAAGATGAGAGCGGCGCCCACAAGGGACAGGTTCAGGTTTAAGTTAAACTCACATTTGCCTCCCTGGCCACCGGCGATGTCACCATTGGGGGTCTTTGCAAATAATGCAAAGTTCCCACATGGTAACAGATCCTCTTTAACACTAAACATCCTGTGTAAAGTAACTCTGACATTAACCCCTTTCTAACCTTAAACACCCCTTTACCATAACCACTTCTGACATTATCTTTAGCCCTGCATGCATTTACACACTTGCAGACACTCACTGTTCTCGCAGATACTTTACAGCAGTAAATGTACAAACATACATGGATATTATACATTTGCAGTTGCCAAACATTGCCATATGTTTTTAAACTTCTTTATCCCTGCAATCTTCAATTAATCTCAATTATCTACTATTTCTTTATCTTTAATTTTTCTAGGAGCCCCTTAGAATTCTGACATATAAATCTGGTCTTTGACAGGTCCTACTGGTGAGACCTCACTTGGAGTTTTGTTCACAATACTGGAGACTGTATCTCCAGAAGGATGTTGATACTTTAGAGAGAGTTCAGAGAAGGGCTACTAAACTGGTTCATGGATTGCAGGATAAAACTTACTAGGAAAGGT